AACCCAAAGCCAAAGTGAAACATATAGTGAGAGTGTATAGAGAGGGCTATAGAGGGCGGCAGTAGGCGTGCAGTCAATGCAATGTTGTGTTGTTTGCCGTACTTTATGTGTGTTTCAATGCATTTCACATCCCTTTCCGGCCATACCTTCAAACTCATCGTCCGTTCAGTCAATCAAACACTGCATTAGTTTTGATTGTATTTCCCATTAATTGTCACCACATTTAACGGTAAGTCCCGAGAAATGAATGCCATTTCGTCGCCAAAGACAATGCGGTCAACACTTGCCATCACTGAGCGGTCGGCACTCTTTGCGAACGTTGTCTGTATTGAGTGCTGGATCTGGTGTTGACTTGTTTTGTGTGTCCATTGGATTAACCAATTGATTGATTGATTGATTAACTAATTGTTTGTTTTGTTTGATATCTCGCTGACGAAGACAATGGCAAAAGTGAAGACACGAGACCTGCGAGGGAAGCGAAAGGAAGAGCTGGTGAAACAGTTGGATGAGTTGAAGCAAGAGTTGGCCAATTTGCGAGTGGCCAAAGTGACCGGCGGTACCGCATCCAAGTTGTCGAAGATCCGCGTCTTCCGCAAGAATATCGCTCGAGTGCTGACAATCATCGGTCAGAACCAGAAGGAGAACCTCCGGAAGCTCTACAAAGACAAGAAGCATAAGCCCATTGATCTGCGACCGAAGCTGACCCGCGCTATCCGTCGGCGACTCACACGACACGAGTCGTCGCTCAAGACTAGGAAACAGTTGAGACGCGAAAGGATTTGGCCGCAGAGGAAGTTTGCGCTCAAACACTGATTGATGTTTGATTTGAATAGAAAAACATGTTTATTATAATGACTTGTGTTTTGTTCACTGAATTTGAGATAAAATAAAGTGATTTAATAAATAAATACACGATTTTTGTTATTTTGAAATATAGTATATATTTTTTAATTGAATTATTTTTTATATTTTGAGTTTTTAGATATGAAACTAAAATTCAATTCAATACCACAACGAATGGTCTCTGAAATTGGGTAATAACTCCCATTCCTGTCCTGTTTTATGATTTATTATGAAATATTCTCATCTAAATTTTTGTAAAATGGTTTTTATTTTAAATTATAACCGAATGATGTGTTTATTTAACTTTTTATAAGATTTTTGCATATTTTGGTGATTATTTGTTTGTTTGGAAGTTTATTTTATCTATAAGTATGCAAACTATGGGTGCAATTGACTATTATTTGGGACATTAAAATTCTGAATGTGTTTGAATTGTCAGCGATTCCTGTGGTTAATAAATTGCTGATATCAGCACCGGAAGGGACGGGACTCAAGAATATTCTTTGAAACACTAGTGCAGAATGTAATCAATAGTATATAATCACTATTTGATTAGTTATTAAATTTATTTCTGGAGTAAATCTAC